AATAATGTACAGTATGTGGAAAATAATGTGTTTTTTTAACCTTAAACCGCATAAACGCATTTCATTACACCAAATACACAACATAATGTTCTTTTTAGCAGCATCATATGACCCCTTTAAGTTGTGTTTAGGTCTGTATTTAACTGCATTACCATGCTTTAATAGAAATTTGAAGGAAATCGCTGTTTATCCACCACATATGAGGGGTGCACCGAGAGTAAAATTAGGCTACATTTTCATCCAACTATATTTCAAGTTTTCAAATGAGACATCAAAGGCTGCCCATTTTTTAATTTATGTCAACATTAAGCATTTTGTAGAAAGATGGAGGCCCGTCTGAAAAATTAATAAACTCTTCTTGTTTATTGTAAGGGCTAGTTATGACGTCAGGACGCTTCAGCGCTGTCACGTCCGTAACATTTTAAAGATAAAATTTATATCATATAGCCTAATTATTAATGCAATTAACTCGAAACTTGCGTACAAAGCCAACTTATGTCCACTCTAATTATGATCAATATCTCATCTCATTTATTTGCTCTTATGAACCATAATAATGCGTTACAGTATAACGCAGATTAATCATAATCTTATGAATACCGGCACGCATGTCTGCACGTTGCTGATGACTGATAGCCTACTGTGTAGGTCTACTGTTGTGATCTGTTTCAGGCTTACCCTATCATAACATTTTAGAAATGAATTAATTCTAATATTTTAGAAATTGCATTCTCAACGAGAACATCGCAGAGATTTGGCCTGCATTTGCAGTGCGAGCATGGGCGGCGCTAGGGAGGGGCTAGCAGATGCTTCAGCACCCCCAAGAAAGACCAAAGCACCCCCACACATAAAAAAAAGAAGAAGAAGAAAACATTCAGAAATGCTTATTCAGTGAATTCTAGGTGGACTGTATAAAAAATCTTTAACTGAATGTTTGTTTAATTTCATAAAATAATTTTTTTTAATTAAATTGTGATGAGTCAAACAATGTAATAAAATGTTAAAAAAAAATCAAGTGGGCGATTTATTTTATTATCCAAATAATAATACTAATAATAATGGCCGCAATCAGTGCAGCGCAGATGCGTGCAGTGATGCTCATATCAGCTCTAACGTCTGCTATTAAAAATGAACCATCCATTCATCATATCATCATGCAAAACTAAGAATTAGGATCATTGTAATGTGACGATCAAATATAGTTGCGGTGGGTGGCGGGTGGATAATTTGAAGCAGCGGACTGAAGTTTGAGCTCATCCACGCATCGCTGGGTCACCAGTAGCAATGGAGCTCTGCTGGACAAACTAAGTAATTACACCATTTAGAAGCATTTCATCTGCTTTATAAGTTATGTAAAAAAAAAATTCATACTATTCAAATATTACACTATTATTCATACACTATTTTTAAATTTTTACTATTTAAAAATTCAAATTCATAATCATATTAGCCGATATCGATATATCTGCGACAGGCTCATATCGGCCGTTAAAATCGGTAAATGCGTGCAGTGATGCTCATATCAGCTCTAACGTCTGCTATTAAAAATGAACCATCCATTCATCATATCATCATGCAAAACTAAGAATTAGGATCATTGTAATGTGACGATCAAATATAGGTGCGGTGGGTGGCGGGTGGATAATTTGAAGCAGCTGACTGAAGTTTGAGCTCATCCGCGCATCGCTGGGTCACCAGTAGCAATGGAGCTCTGCTGGACAAACTAAGTAATTACACCATTTAGAAGCATTTCATCTGCTTTATAAGTTATGTAAAAAAAAAATTCATACTATTCAAATATTACACTATTATTCATACACTATTTTTAAATTTTTACTATTTAAAAATTCAAATTCATAATCATATTAGCCGATATCGATATATCTGCGACAGGCTCATATCGGCCGTTAAAATCGGTAAAATGATATATCTGTCAGGCTCTAATTAATAACCTGTTGCATTAATTGGCCAGCTCTGATCTAGCACCCCCTCAGCAGCGTTCAAAATTCTCTGGCGCCTCACCTGTGTCAGGCTCAGAAATATGCACAGGTGGACTGTTGGACAAATGGCCAAAACTATTTTTAAATGGTATATGTAACACAGTTCGTAGATCGGGAAGAAGGCGGCGGGAACCGGCGAACATTTAGGCAAGGCAAGGCAAGTTTATTTATATAGCACATTTCATACACAATGGTAATTCAAAGTGCTTTACATAAAAGAAATGAAAAAATTATTTAAAAAAATAATCACAATTTGACTTGACTTGACTTGAAAACACAGAAAACAGAGCCTCCAGTGCAGGCCAATGGTCAGTGTAATTGTTTTACAATTTTCCGGTCAAAGGCATTTGGGCCCATCATTTTCTATCATCGTATTTCTTTGTTTTTTGCAAATGCAGTACCTTCTGCAGCCTATGTCACAAGGTCACCAGCAAGACCTCCCCACACATTCTTAGCAGCTCAAGCTCTTTCTCAGTGTCTGTAATGCGTTTGTCTGTTGTGTCAAATATTTCCATCCTCACATTCAAAAGGACCATTTACTGTCTCTTAGCAAAGACCTTGGCTTTCCTTGAAGCAATCAAACAAATTGTGGTGGTATTCTCAAACATAAAATATTGAGTTATGGTATCCCAAAACAGGCTGCTGAAGTATGTAAATGGTTAACAGAATTCTGTAGATAATTCTGTAATCACACTTCTGTCCACATTCTCTTATCAAAGGTGTAGATAGTTTGTGAGGACAGGGATTGTACTTGAAACTGTGTTTAGAGAAATTAACTGTGCTTTTATTGTTCTTGTAAATTTCTTGTCAGTCTTTGCACAAACATGGCCAAACCTCACAGGATAAATTTCTCTTTACATGCATTTGATATTCTACCTGGCCAACTTACACATTTCATGTCAAGTTAAATGCCCTATAATTCAGCATTCCTATTGCATGGCACTTCCAATGAAAATAATATAGGATAGAATATAATATTTTTTTGCTGTAGTTTGAGCTGAAAGTCAATCCTGGATTGAATTACAAGGGTCTTAAATTACATTACATTGAATTACATTAAGTGTTTCTTAATGTTTTGATGAATTTCTGCTGCAACACCAGTGAATTATTTTAAGCTGTATTTTTTATTTATTGATTATGGTATCATGGTTTTCAACCAGTGTTCTGCTATAAACAATGTATAAATTTATAAAATATACAGAAATCCAATTCCAAGCATAAAATTGGTATGGATTGTTTTTTTGTTTTTTTTTTGTTTTTTGCTTGTTTGAGTATCCTTTGTGACTTTAAAAGTAAATGACTGTGCATTATGTTTCTCTACAATGTATTAAATTATCTTAGCTTCACCAATTATGTGCAGATGATTAGTACTTAATTTTCATTTTTAAACATAAAAAAATCATAAAATTTCACTTAAACCAGGATCTATTTTTTGCCGTAAGAATCTTTGAACCTTGATAGAAGGTAATCACCTGACTTAACAGGAGGATATTTATCTGATCCATGGCAGCATGAAATGATGGCCTCATCATCAGGTTGTACAAAGAAGGCCAAAGACTGACGTGTGCTGGAGTCACCTGCAGGGGGCAGCAAAACCCTATGAACCTGAGGGTCAGAACAATAGAAAAGAATTAAATGAGCATTGCCTGCACTGCACAATTAAATGAAGCATTAGTAAAGAAACTTACGGCAGACACATAGACATCACTGGTCCACCTTTGCATCAGGTCTGCTATGTTAATCAGAACTGTTCCAGGAATGCTGGGGGCTGAAATGAACTCTCCAGCCCGGTTCAGAACCTGAAGGAGAAGAATGCATCCAGATCCAGAATTACTATCCTAAATGATAAAGGAGCACATGAATCTTTTCTCCTCTTGTCCTATGTTGGTGCTCACCCTGACAGAAAGTAGTAATGCATATATCATTTACTTACTTCCAATATGCTTATGTGCGCTGAGAAAGACCTCTGCTTCCAAAAGATTTATATTTCAAATAAATGCCATTCTTTTCAACTTAAATTTATCAAAGAATCCTGGAGAAAAATGTATCACAGTTTCACATAATGTATTGCTTAAGAAACTTCTTTTTAAAAACCTTAACATAAACCTTAACCTAAAAATATTTCTGACCCCACACTTTTAAATGAGTATATGATTAAGTTTATTGGTGCACTGCTTTTTTCTTATGCTGATTTTGTTGTCACTAAAATATTCCCTTTTTAAAACATAATGGAAACGTCTGAAGCTAGTTTTCTCTCACCTCAACACTTTCTAACATACTGATCTTCTCTTTTAGGCAGTAGAGCAGGAGAAGAATGCATCCAGATCCAGAATTACTATCCTAAATGATAAAGGAGCACATGAATCTTTTCTCCTCTTGTCCTATGTTGGTACTCACCTGCAGTCCACCCTCTGAGCTTTGGAAGACCAAAGTGATACTGCCATAATCAGAGTGTTCACCACAGCGCAGCTGATTTTCCTTCACACATGTGCTGTTCACCGGAGGGTAGTACAGAGTCCGTAGAGTCGTTCCATTCACATCACCTTAAAACCATCCACATCATTAAGGTCTTGCAGATCTCCCTTCCACTGACTCCCTGACAGAAAGTAGTAATGCATATATCATTTACTTACTTCCAATATGTTTATGTGCACTGAGAAAGACCTCTGCTTCCAGGTTCAAACCAAGACCATCACTTGGAGCACTCTGAGAGAAAGTTCCTTACAGCGCAGGTAAAATGATACGTGGACATCTCGAAAATCATCAACTCCTTCTGAAGGCCAATTCTGAACACATTGAGAGTGGAGGGTTATAAAGTCAGGCTTCCTTAAAGTATCTTAATGTTAATAACATAAAAAAAACAAAAAAAAAACACATACACATACACAAATGTGCATATTAAAAAATACTTTATATTTTAAATATAAATACTTTTTTCCCATATGTACAGGCAGCCAATGCTAGCTGTCATTTAAATTTTTTTCTAAATTATGTATAGGGGTGTGTGTGCGTGTGTGTTCTATTTCAGATTTCTATTTCAAATAAATACTGTTCTTTTGAACTTTCCAGTCATCAGATTCCTTAAAAAAAAAAAATTGGTTTCCACAAAATATTAATATTATGAAATTAACTACTGTCAACGTCATGCTATGTTCACACATAGCAGTAAGAGAGAGAAGACAAGAAAGAGATATTTACGATATCCGAGCGCAAAGATGTTGTATTAAACGCCTCCTTCAGATCACCGGGACATCGAGGATTCAAACTGTGATATGACAAGATATAAAACCATTAAAATGTTTCTCCATCATTCGTGAATTTTTAGCAGTAATGCTTCTGAAGCTAGAAGAATCTGACATGCCTTTCCGTTTCTACCGAAATCCAGCCGTGGTTTCCATTACATGAGAAACTGCCCCTGCTGAAAGGTTTCTTCATGCTTTCTGGCAAACAGAAGAACTTATTTGAAACACCCATGACTTTGTCCACCTGAAACAATTGACACAGAATAATAATAATAATAGCCAGCCACCTACAAACTAGGTAAACTTCTCGTAACAAACTAGTAAAAAATGACAAACCTCGTCCTGATTTATGCCCGAGTTTTTCAGATAAACAAATCCCACCTCGGTAAAGGCCTTTCTTAGTTCGTCACTTAACTTCTCCAAGTTAAGAACTGATACATTTGTCTTTTCCAGTTCGTACGCACTGAAATCTACGACAGGTATCTCCATACTGTGTTATTTTTCCTCGAGACAGCAAAACGACAAAGAATAAGTTTAAAATTCTTTCAGGAATTCTGTAGAAAATACGCCAAGGATCTTCGCTTCTCTTATCAATGCAGCAAAGTCCGTTACTGAATAGTTGTTGAGCAATGCAGTCATAAAGTTCCACCAATGAATAACCAAACCATTGGAAAACAAAGAGCACTGGATTTTGGCCTATTCAATACTCTCAGAGTTTACATGTCCCTATAACAATCCTAATATACTACTTTTTAGTATGCACTGCAAGTTATATCATTTCCAATGGGTAAAAAATTCAAGTATGCTTTCTGAAAGCAATACAAAAAAGTATTTGCATTTTTGAAACATATTAGTTGAATATGTATGTCAATCTTACATTTGTTTGCAAACTGTGTGAAGAAAACTAAATATTATGTACAGTGTGTACACAACTCTCTCAAATTCAGCATTTTTACTAAATTTAGCAAACATTCAAGTGTTAATGAGTATATTTTGTACACAAGTAATGCACCTTAAGATTATCATTTATTTTACAGATGGCTTCTGAAATTAGCTTTCACAGAAAAATATGAGGTCTACACCATGGTTAAAACAAAAACAACAATGTACAACTTTATTTTGTTTGTTCACTGAAAATACCTGCAGAGCCAGAGTCTTGCCAAAAATTTTTAAAACAATTGTTTCTTACTGAAAATTATATTTTCATTAGGACTTATGTCTTGAATAAATCTACTGTCCAGAGAAACAAGACGACACAAATACATTTCAAAAATTTCATTTTAAAGTCCATTTCTTTTATGGGTTCTTTCTAAATTTGCTCTTTTTGTCCTTATTTTTCTTCATATTCTTGCTTTGCCATTGTTCTTTCTGATTCATGCCTTCCAGTTTTCTTTTCTTGTCACTAAGGAGGAAAAAAAGATCAAAGTTCATAGCAGTTCATGATTCCAGACAAAACCCACCCAAGCTGCTTATAACTCTGCTTACCCTTTTATGCTAACAATAGCTGTATGTCCTGCTTTCTTCAACACTTGGTCCCATTCCTCATCATCTCCTCGAATCATGTACCTTTATAAAAAAATTCAGAATGGAAAGAGGGGGTCAACAACTTAACATTTTACATCTACCTAAAGTGGTCATCACCTCTAAAGCTCAGAGAAAGGGTGGAAACGGTAATGCAAAACAAAAACATTATAGTTATAAAATCTCGGGAATAAAAAAAGACCTTGTTAAATAAATGCAGTTTGGACTATTACTCCGGGAATACTCACTCTGAAAGATTCATGTCTTTAATCTTCTCCATGTCCTTTTTTTGTTTCTCTTGGAACTCTTTGGCTGCATCATTCTAGGGGACAAAATACAATATTAATATACCTTGTTACAAAAATGTGTTACTTCAAATAAATGCTGTTCTTTTGAATTTTCTACTCATCGAAAAATCCTGAAAAAAGTTTTTACAAAAGAGCAGCACTTTCAACATTGATAATAATAAGAAATGTCTCTTGAGCTCCAAATCAGCATATTTATGCAAAAGCATATTTGCTTTTTTTAATATATTAAAATAAAAAAATAGTAAAATTGTTAAAGTTGTAAAAATATTTAGCAGTACCACCGTTGAATGTCTTTTTCATCATATAAATGCAGCCTTTGTTAGCATTAGACAGTTCTTTCAAAAACATTTAAAAACCTTTCCGACCCCAAACTTTTGAATTACATAGAGCAGGGTTCCTCAAATCTTGCCCTGGAGGGCCAATGCACTGCAGAGTTTAGCTCCAACCCTGATCAAACTCACCTACCTGTGATTTTCTAATGATCCTGAAAACATTGATTAGCATGCTCAGGTGTGTTTGATTAGGGTTAGAGCTAAACTCTGCAGGAGAGTGGATCTCGTGGGCCAGATTTGAGGATCCCTGCTATAGAGTATCTATATGTGATCCTGGACCACAAAACCAGTCATAAGGGTCAATTTTCCGAAACTGAGATTTATACATCATCTGAAAGCTGACTAAATAAGCTTTCCATTACGATAGGACAAAAAATCGAAATATTGCGAAAATCGCCTTTAAAGCTGTCCAAATGAAGTCCTTAGTAATGCATATTACTAATCAAAAATTAAATTGTAAAATATTTACGGTAGGAAATTTACAAAATATCTTCATGGAACAAGATCTTTACTTAAAGTAAAGTAAAAAATGAAAATTAGCCTGATGTGTTTTACTCACCCTCGACACATCCTAGGTGTATATGACTTTCTTCTTTCAGATGAATCCAATCGGAGTTATATTAAAAATTGCCCTGGCTATTCCAAGCGTTATCATTGCAGTGGGTGGGTGTTTCTGTTTAACAGTCCAAAACACGTTAAATAAAGCGCGTGCATCCATAATAAAACATGCCTCACATGGCTCTGAGGCATGAATAAAGGCCTCCTGTAGCGAATCCATATGTTTTTGTAAGAAAAATATCCATATTTCAAACGTAATAAACACTTTTCTCTTACTTCTGCTGACTGTCATACGCAGAAGCCGTTAGATATGCTAGTCGCACGAGTTTGTTTACAGGAGCAAAGGAAGCAAAGTTTCCTTACTTTAGCAAAGTAAAACCAGTCTTCTCTTGGCTTCTATCGAAATCCTCCGACATTTTTCTTTACAAATCCTCGGTTTGAACTTCTAATTCATGACCGACATTTTGTTTTGTTCTCTCTCCGCGTTCATCACTAATCACGCAACGCTGACGTCCTACGTCATCCGCCGGAATGGCTTCCGTGTACCACAGTTAGATGAAGTGATAGAAAAGTGTTTATTACATTTGAAATATGGATATTTTTCAAACAACAACGCATGGATTTAGAGCCGTGTGAGGCACGTTTTATTATGGATGCGCATGCTTTATTTGACATGTTTTGGACTGTTGAACAGAAACACCCGCCAAGGCGCCAACTGCAATGATAGAGCTTAGAAGTGCCAGGACAATTTTTTATATAACTCAGATTGAATTTGTCTGAAAGAAGAACGTCATATACACCTAGGATGGCTTGAGGGTGAGTAAATAACAGGCTAATTTTTGGGTGAACTAACCTTTTAATATCCTAATGATTTTTGGCATAAAAGAAAAATCGATCATTTTGATGCATACAATGTATTTTTGGCTATTGTTACAAATATACCTGTGCTACTTAAGACTGGTTTTGTGGTCCAGGGTGACATATTTAAAAAAAATAATAATCTAATCTCATACCAGATCTTCATTTAGTGTCTGCACAGTTGGTTCCATGCTTATATCTTTGGTGGCCACCATCTCTGCTTCAACCGCATTCTCCTGAAGAATGTTGAAGAACTGCAGAAGAGATAAAAATGAACAGTAGCTACACACTGAAACAACAATACATACTAGAAGAGGTAGAAGAGTAGATCTACGCAGTATATTTCTCACTCCTTCAAGTGGCAGTGGTCTGATAAGATGGTTCAGTGCTAATCCTTGTGTGTTGCTTTAATCAGTGTGTGTATAAGAGACAAAGACAGAGTGCGTGGACTCACCTGCACCCCTTTACGGATGACACGGTTGAACAGGCCCATAAGCTGAGAACCAGGCAGCTCAATCTCCTTCTCCAGCTCATCTACACTCTTGTGTTGAAACCCAATTCCTAACAGTAGAGCCTGGAAAAATAATTGATTGTTTTATACACATGCCTGAACACACACCAGAGATGGAAATTCGGTCAGCTTAAACTAAATAACTTATACTTCTTATACTTAAAAGCATACTAAGTAGACTTACACACTGGGCAACAGAAAGTGTGATGTCTCCCAGTTGTTTGAGGAAATACATGCGTGCAACAACAGGGATCATGTCCATGATGAGGTGATAGTCCACCATGTTTCTTGAATACATTTCCAGACGCTTCAGGTCGTATGGAGTGAATGTGGCCGCTAACTCTGCACTGGTGAGTGCTGAAGATACACAGACACATGAAAAGTCATCTTAAAACCAACAGAACACATACAACATTTACTTTATTGAGGTGCAAATGTGGGCCTGTACCTGCTGGGCTGTCGTCCTTAGCGTTCTTGTTCTGCAGTATATTGAGGGCCAGGGTTGGGCTAAATTTGCTGAACTGGAAGGATAGCAGGGAGAGGAACCTCCGCCGGAAATCTGTCCAACACAAGAAAAGTTAGTCTTTTGAAAGCATTATATCCATTATTACATGGCTTTCTGGAATACTTGATTTTCATAGGTCAATTGCTGAATTCATACTATATTATGAGAGACTGGGCATACTCACCCTTCCAAAAAGCCGAGAGCCACTGGTTCTGCTCTGTTGACTCCTCAGCATTGAGCTCCTTCAGCATAATGCAGGAGTGCTCTCCCGTCAGGTCATTCTACAGGTCACGATATAAGAATTGTACTTGTTACATAGTTACAAAATATGACAATAAAAAAAAAAAATACTGCATCCTTACCGGAGTCTGTCTTAAATAAACGGGCACAAAACCAGCCTTTTTCCAGAATCTGGATGGGAAAGAAAGCAAGAGATATTTAGGAGTTACTAACATGCTTTGTGATAGTGCTGCAGTATAAATATCACTGTAAAAACATGCTTGCATGAAGCAACTTACTTGAGTAGTTGAGGAGTGAGACCATAAGACACCCCGAGGTAGTCCAGCCTCTCGGCTCTCCTCTCACTCAGCTTCAACAGCAGCGGTGGCAGGTCTTTCCTGGGAGACACCACCTCCTCCAGGAGACTGACAGCCTGCACATGAATGAAAAAGAAGCGAAAGATATACTCTCAGAATACATACTTCAATGATTCTTATTTATTAATACCTTTGGTCCAGATAATATGCTACTTTATCAGGTGGCATTTATAACCACTAAAATGCATGAAGGATGATTTAAAATCTTGAATTTTGTTACGTCCAGAGCCGTAAGGTTCTGTTGTGTCAAACTGTGCTTTGTTTTTTTTTTCTCTCTCTCTCCGCAGAATCAGTATCCCCACCTGAGGTTAATTAGAGCTCTGCTGCGATTGGGTGATGGGAGGGGAGAGGAGAGAGAGTATTTAAACTACAGCTACCCTCAGACCAGAAGTTGGTGTGTGGTGGCTGAGGGCTTGTACTCTCCTCCAGACTTATTATTGTGAAGCCTTTGGTGATTTGGTGTATCTTTCTCTCAATTGTGTTGAGACTGTAGAGTTTCTGTCCTTTGTCTCTTCGCCAGTGTTGCCAATTTAGCTACTTTGTAGCTAGATTTAGCGACTAGTTGCCCATTGTAAATACTGAACTAGCTTTATTTTATATCTTTTGTTTTGGGTTTAGTAGGAAGGTGGGTGCCATTTTGTTTTACATGACCTATTTTCTCCTGGTTATGGTAGTTTAGGGAGTTAGTTTAATCTGCTGTATTTTGTTTTTCTTTTCTTTGTAGCTTTGGTAGTTGGTTATAAAAGAATTAGTTTCGTTATGTTTGTTATTTTGGCCTTGCCTCCTTCTGAAGTTAATACCCTTTTGTTATTTCTTTGTTCAGAATTATGTAACTTTTTGCTGCATTTGACCGTGGTTGTTTGGGTTATTGTAGCCATTCTGGGCCAACAGACAGCGTTTTCTCTGCCGTCGCAGTCTCTCACCACCAACCATTTTATTTCTGTTGCGGTCTTCCCTAGACTAATTTAGACCGTAACAAATTTCAAAACTTATTGTACACAATGCTGCCACAGATGGCTAATTTTGTACTGGCTTTCTACAAAAAGGTAAAACTAAGGGTAGCAGATCAATTTGAATCAATTTTGCATATAAACATCACATCAAAAAGTCAGGAAAGTTGTTTTTCAAAGAAATGAAATACTTTTCTTTGGCAAAGATGAGCGAAATTGATCAAAGGTGACAGTAAATTCAAACGTATGCTGTAATGGCTTCAATAATTTATTCCTGTGATCAAGCTTTGCCATCACAGAAATAAATGACATTTTTAAATATATTTTAAATGGCAATAAAAACAGTAATTTTTGATCAACTAAATGCAGCCTTCATGAACATAAGAGAAATGTTCTAAAATTGCTTCAAAATGTTTAATGTAATTAGTAAAATACAGTAAAAGTCCAGTTAAATATAATCAAGCAATATTTCTTACACCTATTTTCAATATATGAACACTAAGAAGAATGATTTAATATTTTTCACTTAAATCGACCAATATAACAATGCAATACAGCTATATTTACCTACATAAAATAATTACACTACCCACAGAAATACTAAAACGTTTTAATATATGAAAAATGCCACACAGAATTCCATGAACATTACCTCGCTGCTCACAGATGTGATTGTGCTTGTTGTTGTCTGTTCTTGCTCATCCAGAAGAGAAAACTGACCTTCATAATATTGCTGTAGCAGTTGCAACGTACGGCTGCCGTAACCCATCTAAAGAGTGGCACAATAAATCACAGATGGGCAATGACATAACTGGCCAAACAAGGCAATAATGCAGCAACTTGTATATGTAAGCTTTTCACTGGTTGTATACAGACGGAGGAGAAGGAAAAGTCATTTACCCCCTGATAATCAGGATTCACTGCAATACGGACGATCCGGCCCCCAGAGAGGCTTCCAAACTCAGGGTCTTGAAACTAAATGCAAAACACAAGAGCATCAGAATAATTTCAGATTCACTCTTTGTAGCATTTATTTGACAGTATGGCATAAATAATCGACATACACTACTGTTCAAAGGTACGTTTTGAGCAGTTGCGCTGCTTAATATTTTTGTGGTAACCGTCATACAATTTTTCAGGATTCTATGATGAATAGAAAGTTCAAAATAACAGCATTTATTGGAAATTAAAACTTTTGTAATATTATAATTATCTTTACTGTCAGTTTTTATCGATTTAAAGGGGTCCTATTATGCTTTTTCAATTTTTTTTAACTTTAGTTAGTCTGTAATGTTGCTGTTTGAGCATAAAAAAGATCTGCAAAGTTTTATTTAACAGAAATCACTTTTCAAAAACTACAACGAACGACTCGTTTGGACTACAACGCATATTTTCCGGGATTTGTGATATCGTGTTGTAATAATGTAAAATATGTGAAAAATAATGTGTTTTAACCTAGTATGAGAGCCTGCTCTAGTCCACCCCCAAAACAAAATCAAGACTTTGTAAAAGAGCATAATAGGATCCCTTTAAAAAAAAAAAAATACCCCAAACTGCAGTTTAACCTGTAGTGCAGTTTCAATTTAAATTAGGATTTGTTACCTGTTCGGAAACGGTCCACGGAATGAGGTCACCTGAAGCTTTCTTCCCTCTGGACAAGCTGTTGAGGACGGACTGGCGGGAGATCTCTCCTTCCAGACACACCTGTAACAGAAAACACAGGCTTCACTGCACAGTTCTTTCATTACAACAACTTCAATTTAGATTCAAGAGTATTGGAATTAAGTAACTTTGGGCACACCTGGACAACTGCTAAGACCTCTGGGAGTGAATTCTGTGTGGGTGGAACAGGGGCCAGCAGGCAAAAGAGATGGTGGGCAGGAGCATCCGAGAGCATCTGAAGGTCATTGGGTGAATTCTGAGGAGGAAGAGGAGATTGAGTCAATATCAGTCTGATGATAAGAGTTTGTGACATAATGCTCTGATGCAGTGGTTCTCAACCAGGCACCCAGGTCCCACTAGAGGGCCTCGGCAAACTTTCAAGGGGGTCACAAGATGACTAAAAAGTATTCGAATTAAATACCAAATTAAATACTCCCCAAATAACTATTGTTTTTAATTGTCATTTAAACTTCTGAAATCACAAATAATTTGGGGATAATTAAATGTATCAGTTCTCCCAGTCTTTTTAAAAATTAAGACAAAAAAAAATAGCATTTACTGGGGTAGGCTTTGAATATCCAGTTAGAAAAAGAAAGTCTTTTAGTCAAAACGGTTGAGAACCACTGCTCTAATGCTATAATAGATATTCATTCACCTTGTAATGCGATGCAACGTAAAGTGCCATAAGACGCTGGAGGAAAGCTTCAGAAGCTTTATGATAACAAAACAATGTGTCTCGATTCACATAATAACTGGAATAAGGGATTAAAGAAATCTTATGTCTAGAAGGTAGATGAGAGACAGTGTTTTGTGTTATTTTGAGATATTAGGTATGTGTTTATATGCATGGTGGTGGTGATGATAGTAGATAAAATCATACGCAAGACAAGCTAGAATATGGAAGCCCATTTCTGCCACATGCCTTGGTAAGTCATATTTATGAGACGTTATAATTCTGTAGTTAAAATGTAAGCCATCATTATGACATAAAACACTGAAATTCTGCCAAAAGAAACAAAACTGAGATACGTCATAATTATTATGTAAAAAGTCAAAATTGTGAGTCATAATTACGAGACAAAATTATGAAAAAAAAAACTGAATTATGACAGTCATAATTATGAGTCATTTAAAACGTCTAAAAAAAAAAAAGTATGCTTTTTAATCTCATAATTCCAATTTTTTTAACTTATAATGACTTGGTATCTCATAATTATAACTTTTTGTCTCATAATTATGGTTTAACAGAGCATGATTTTTTCTTTCTCATGTGGCAGAAACAGTCTTCATTTCTGTCGAATCAGCATGATGTTAGAATGAACAAAAATCCATTGCTGAATGTAGAGGTTTTTTTTTTTAGGGTCCCCCTGGCCATAGCGGATAGACTCATGGAGGGTCACCTCATCAAGGGTTCGTGCTGCAGAGCAGGTAAAGGTGTGGTTTACACATGATTATACACATACCAGCAGTCCGAAAAAAAAGTTCTTCTTTTTTCATATTTCTAAATCTCTTGCTGCAAGTCAAGAGGTGTTATATTTCACCTGCTGCCAGTCTGGCTGTGCTGGTGTTTCTGTTTTCAGCTGAGAGGTTCAGCTGGCTGTCTGCACTCTGCTGCCTTAACTGCTGAATCAGCTTAAGAGACAGAGAGCGACCGGTGCCCTCGTACCTGCATGGTGACACGAGGATTACTGCATTGTTATTATACCATTGTAAAAAGACCTAAAAGCTCTTCAAATACCGACCCGTTGATCGTAGATGCCATAAACACAAGGTAAGGCCCCAGTAGTTTCTTCACTAAAGGCAGTGGGATCGCAGCAGCCTCGTCGATGACTAGCAGCTCTGCCTGGCCTAACTTCACCGCATCAGCAGGATGAATGTACTGCAGATTAAAACAGATCCGGCAAGACATGAGAAAAATTATGAATGATAATTATAGAGTTATGAATGATGCACAATGCACTACATGAACATGTTGTTTCTACACTTTCACATATTTTATATATACCAAAGTTGAATAAAACAACTCTAAGCAAAGAAAGTTACACGATTTAACAAATATTTACAAAAAAAAAAGAAAAGAAAATTATGGAAAAGAAATGCAGAGATGGAGGTCAGTATACCTGAATGGTCTGGCGATGTTCCTTGAAGATGTTAACGCGAATCACAGCTTTGTTAAACTCTGGGTTCAACGACTGGATTATTTCATAGTCCAGATGTTCCTGGAATTTACATAAAAATCTGGTTTAAAGTATGTTCCTTAAATATATGCATAAATCTCCTGACAGATAAAAAAAATACTATAGACAAAAATGTTATTTTTTATTACATAATTTACGAAAGATTAAAGGAACGATTAGGGTTTCACTTATTTAACTCAAATTTCAACCAGGGTTATTATAGTTAAATACAAATAAAACTATTAGATGAAACAAAATTTATATAAAAAAGTTAACGGAATTAAAATAAAAGATTAAAACTTAAATGTTATTTCAGTTAGTTGCCAAGGCAACATTTCTTATTTTCATGTAGTTTAAGTTGAAGTACTAAAATTAATAAAACTGAAATAAAAATGAATAAATACTAGACATAACTAATAAAGAATTACTAAAACTTTATCTAAAATCAAAAATCAACATCTATTCCAAATAATAATAAAAACTGCAATAGTATATTGACACAAAAATAACACTGGGTTTGACTCATTGTGTTAAAGTAACACACGCTTAAAGTCCAGTTGTGAATATATCATATCTATCCTTATGTCCAGTGATGATTACCTGATACTGGAGAGCGTCAAAACCTTTAAAAATGAACTCAAACAGCGTGTGCAGATTGTCTGGGCTGGGTGACGTGACAAAGATATTTGAATAGCTAAGAAGAGAAGTACAACACAAACACAATAAGTTATTTATTAGCATAAATTGCAGTCAGGATGCAAACATAACAAGAAAAATTCTTATTCATAACACCCTACTACATACCCAAATGCGACAGCTCCGGCTACAGCCAATCCCAGTGCAGCAGATTTGCCTCGACCGCGGGCAGCAGTAAGAGCTACAGTGCTCCGCAAGGTCTTCTCTGAAATAGCCTCAATGAATTTCAGCACTGCTTTGGCCTAAAGACATAAACACAGACAAAATAAAATATTAAGTTGGGCCATATGAAACAAATTTACATCAAGATTTCTGAGGTATTTTGATTATACCTGGTCCATAGTTTTACAGCTGTCCACTAGAACACCAACTGGCTGTGTGTCCTGTAAAGACTCCTTTAGGTCCTTCAGCTCTTGTTCCCTTGGAGACAGCCCATCATCCTGTTGGCAAATACAAAGATTATGGAATTCATAGGAGCTAATTAACAAACAAAACACTGTTCAGTTATAAACGAGGCTCACCTGTGTCTTTGGAGGGACAGGTTTGATGTTGGTAATGTGAGTGGAGATTGGCAGAATGCTAAGCTGGTCATCAATCACAACACATGTCTTACAGGAGGCGAGAGACAGGATGAATCTGGGGAAAATAAGACTAGTATCATTTTTATATTCATTTTTTTCTTACAGGACAGATTAGGGCTGAAGGATCTAAATAAAATCACAATCATGTGGATCGTGTGTCGCAGAATCTGCTCGGAGTTTGGGTCACTCATATCATGCATTTGAGAATGCAACCTGTTGTTAACATAGAAGCTTTAAAGGCTCCCTGTGGTTGTCTATGAAAATAAAAGTTTGTAATTTAAAAGAAATGAAGACTTAAATATTAGTATTGTAATTTTACAGTTGTCCTTTAAAATAAAATTATTTTTCTTAAATACTTGATTTTTTTTATTTGACACTGAGATAGCATCGCAATAGTAATATTTTTGTTTAATGCTTATTTTTTGATAATGATAATCAAAATAAAAAAAATAATAAAATGAAATTATTATTTTGATATATAATTCACAAAATATTTGGCCAAACTTTGCAGTCACACACACACACACACACACACAACAACAACAACAGCAACAACAAAACACAGCAAACCTGCAGCTCTTAAAAAAATTATTTTAAAACACAAACACAATTTTAATCAGAAAAAATATATATACCGCAAATACATTTTTTTCTACAAAATGCAGATACATAAATATATAAATAAATAACAGATACATAAATATAAATATGTCGAAAGACTGACCTTTCATTGAACCTCCCAACAACATCCTGGTGAGCCTCTGTCCTGTATCGAGAATGAACATCCTGGAAGAAAACATGCATTAATAATTTAATATAATAATTCATATTCACACAAATAACCAAATTAATACTGGGATACAAACACTTAAGAGGCCATATACCATTGCCATTGTGTACAGCTGCTTCAGTGAGTTCACAGTCCTCAGAAGAATGACCACAATGCCTCCACCTTCCACAGTCTCAATGGTCCGAGCCAAGAGGTTGGGAGTGAGAGCTTCAAAGTCCTATAACAGAAAGTGAGAAGAACTTAAACCTACTGTATCATATTTGCAAAGACTTTAAATTATCAGCATGATCAAAATTTCATCAAAACTACTGCAAACCCCATTGTACTACATACCTCCCATCAATTTTTACATGTAAAAAGCCTTTTAGTACTACAATTCTAAAAACATTCCCTTCATTTGACTTTTTTTTAATGAAATCTTTACACTTTTATAAATCTATGGAAACATTGTCCAAAAAACTGAATTGTTTCATATGTCAGGCTTTACAGGGTTAAGCAATAAAGTCCACAGTAATATGAAGGACCTGTCTGAGAAGTTTGTCATTGGTATTACCTGAAGAACACACATGCCATAGGTGTTTCCCAGGATCTTGTGCGTTTCATTGTAGTAGCAGTATCGGATGTTGGTTGCAGCAATGAAAAGCTCAAAAGGATCATCCTGGTTTAGGTTCAGCGTGCCTGTTTTGATCTTCTTCTGCAGCTGTCGCATCCTCTTCTTTCGATTACTATAAAACAACAGATTCATTTCTATCAGGGTTCCCACAATTGTATATACAGCACACAATTTGAACCAAGTGAATAATAGAAAGTCTAATTAGATGAATAAGAGTCCGTCATCAAAGAAGTCTGTGAACAGTTAACATTGTTTGGGGAGCTACTATAAAATGTTCATAGTACCTGCTGAAGCTAAGCTCCTTTTTGTAGCACCATAACACTGATGGCCGGGCTCTGACTGTTGCTTTAGACAGCATGTGATGCAAAACGACAACCTGGATGCAAATTGCACATATGATTGAGGCTTAGCAAACGAACTTACTGTATTACAATATTGTTAAAAACAGTTATGCTTTACCTGATCTCTGCCACGATCACCAACTATAACGAACATAGATCGGTGGTGTTGCGCGACACCGTTTTCTATCTGGACACGAATGCGATTGTCCACCTTCTTCCGAAACGTTGCCATTGCTTCCCAACTGCACCCTGTCACCACGAACATAGAGTCAGCTTTACATATGAAATGCATGAAGTGAAATGAAGTAAACACTGTAGTGCGTGTTAACATACTTTAAACGCTTTTTACATAGCGTTCAGACAAAACTAGGTTTATTTTAAACATGTTAATTCATATCACAAGACATACCTCAAATGTTCTACCGATAAAGAAAAATACGCTGTTGAAGTCTTAATTACAAGTTCTGAGCAATAAAACTTCGCCTCATTTACAGTAGACCATCATGCTCATAAATTCACGTGGTAATCCTCGGCGGAAAGACCCCGGTTTGATGGACCCCAAAACAGACATATTAGCTATCCATGATAGCGCCTGTTCAGAATGACCAAATAATAACGCTCTAATTATTTTTATTTAATAAAATAGGATTGCGGTTGACATGATCTAAAAAGATTTTAAGATTGCATTCATCAGACGTAAACCGCGGTTTTTTTTTTGTAGTAAGTTGCTATATAGTGTTGCTAGATTAGTCAAGGCGGTAAACTTGTATCATTGTGGGAGTGGTAGTCTTTCTGTAGAAACGTAATTGCGTCACATTGGACCTCTGAAACAAATTCAAACTTTTCAAACTTATACTTCTATATAGATTTGTGCCGTGTTGTCCACACAGTGTGCATATTTTTGTAGCATTCGAGGTTTTTTTTTTAATTGTAATTGTTGCATTCAAAATGTGAGTGCACAAGTTTCATGAAAATACGTTTTCTTTTAAGTCTCTTTTTCTTTAGCCTTTAACTCCAATATCTACTCATTTTTAGTAGATATAAATCAATATATTATTTTTTTTGTTCAGTAGATCACCAACTGTACCTACATTAGTAGTGATAGCTTATAGAGAAGCGGCATAGAAAGGGAAAGCCAATAACACAGCAGAATCCTGTTTTTGTGGTAAGTTTAAGACAGCTTCTTATGTAGGACTTGTATATGCAAATAAAACATCTCGAATAGAGCATTTACTTGACATGTTAACAACAGTGTATTAGGATACAGTCCAAATTTGTTTTCTTAAAAAAAACAAAAAAAAACAAAGGAACAAAATAGCAGTTCTTATAATGTCCTTTAGGTTGATAGGCATCATAAGGATGCAAAGCATACTGACATCCAAATAAAGCCAAATATGTCTGACTTGATACTGTAATCATGACTTGAGGGGATAAAAAAAAAAACAAGATCCAAACAGCAGTACAGCATTTAATGCAACACATCTTTATTGAAACTCTTGAAGCAATATCACTTTACAAACTGAGACTCTTAATGTACCAAAAGAAACATTTTAGAACCAAAATGAATTAGTGTGAACAGAACAGTGGGGCAGCAAGAGAACTCCAAATTTTGGACCATTTGTGGCAGGTATAACAAAAAAATAAAATAAATTAAGTCTTTAAAGTTCACAGGTATCTGTTAGAAACACTGGGTAGGTTTAAAATCTTGACACTGGGTTTTCAGCTTGCTTTCTGAATCATTGAACCATTTTCTCCAATTTAACATATCAGGGTAGACGTTGTCCGATCAATTCCATGAAGGTGAGAGAAAGGGGAAAAAAACCAGCCAGGACATATGCACTTCAGTATTTCAATGTTCACTGTGGTCCAGATGTAAGCTCACTTCACAAGGCTTAAGACCGCATAGCTGGAGCACTTCCTCGAGAGACCCCTCGAGCCCCTTGGCCAGCACCACGTTTATAGTTCTGTTGGTAACCATCCTGTGGAGAGACAAATAAAAAGATTAAAGAGAAGACAAATGTCACAATGTCTCAACAGTATTTTGAGGATGTGTTGAGACTAATGCTCAAACGATAAAGAGAGAAACTTATTATAGTATCAAAAGCTGAACATACCCGCTGATAGCCGCTGTTGGAATAGTCCCGCGGCACACTGAATTGGGTTTGTCCATATCCAGAGTTTGCTGAGTTGAAGGGTTGGCGATAACCATCATATCCCCCTGAAATAAACAAAACCTCCAATGATTGATCCATCAATCATTGCACTGTTTTATCGACAAAGAGAATATGCGTAAAAAAAAACAAACTGCTGTCTATAGCCCGTTTCCATCCAACTGGCCTTTTACCGATAAAATGGTGTGCGTGATGACGTCATCCCTAAAAAAAACTAATTGTTGCATAAGTTTGTGTATCGCAAAAAAATTGCCCTTGAGCTATTTCCATACATAATTTCACCTATTGCATAAATTATATAGGCTAGTAGCCTGTTCTTCATCCATTTGAAACAAAACTTTATTATATAGCCTATTATTAAATTGTATAGGCCTGCATAAAATTATTTTACAAATGTCATGAGTTGTTTTTTTTTGTACTTTGTTATATACTATTTAGATACTTGATCATCAAGCATTATTCATAAATAGGTGCAGTTGTATTATTTGGTGCAGTAGTTATTTTTCTGATTAACTTTTAGGGGAAAATGTTCATTTCGGTTATTTTATTTTTCCTAACCAACATCCGACGGTCGTTAAGCCATTATTAACTGACAAGATTATGTTAAATTTCAATTAAATTAAATATGAATTGATACATGGCTATGACTCAATAAAAATACCTACATTTGTTTTCCCGGGATTAATTTTATACACGCAAAAAGCAGCATAAACAACAACATGAGGATTCACATGGTCACGTCACGCACCTGCAGCGCTTCTGCAAATGGAGAAAAACATAAAACTATACATATAAAAGAAATAAATAGGCCTATATGCGAAATATATTTTTCTAAATAATAAATTAACAAAACGAAAGAAAAAAAAAAGAAAGAAAAAAGTGCAACAATTAGCAGCCTAAATGCAGAATTTCGGCTCATTTTTGCGATGCGCTCTTGAGAAAGTGGCATCCTGTTTGTTTCCTTTATTTTACAAAAGCACAATGTTTTGTTTTTATTGTGAAAGTACACAAATAAAAGGAATATTTAGAATAGTTTTGAATAGGCATGGGACGATAACCGGTTTCAAGGTATACCACGGTTTGGAAAAGTCACTGTTTCAAAACCACTAACATTTTTCGTTATACCGTTCCAGCGGTATTCGCAGTTTTTTTACGTGTCGTCAAAGACGGAAAGTGCAGGACTCCCTCAGTTGTGTGCAGCGAAGAGTGTAATGAGTCACACGACCCCTCCCCCTCCGGTTGGTGCGAGCGGTCAGTCACCTGTGTGTAGGATGGCCGAAGGAGATGAATCCCTGGAACCTTTTCCCCCGTCGAAAAAGACGAAGTCTGTCGTATGGGAATTTTTCGGGTAACGTAGACTAACCATGTTCCGTACACAAAATACTATTTGGCTTGCTACCTAGGCAGATAACATGGCTAATTAACTAGCTAACGTCAACTAGTTTCCTCCCTCACGTTACTTCACAGAGCGGGGAATAGCAGTCTAAACTACATACTGAACTGTTCTGAGATTCAGTACAATAATTACATTTAGCTGGCATCACATTTATACTTTTAAGCCTCCTGCCATTGTTTACATCTGTTCAAAATCACGACATTTAAAAAAAAACAAAAAACTTTGCTACTGTTTGAGTGTTGTACGGGGAGACCGTGTGTGTGTGTGTGCGCGCGTTACTCGCGCTCTCTCTTTCCTTATGCGTGTATGTGCACACATCTTCGTACCTCCACTCCAAACTTAATCCAGGAAAGGTGAACATTCCTGCATCATAACTTGGACTGAAAGATGAATGTGTAGAAAGCGAGCATGTCTTAAAAAACCTTGAGCTGCAGGTTTAATGACTGCATTCTTTATTAATTTTTTTTACAGAAATTATATTTTGATTATATTTTTGATTATTGAGCTGCAGGTTTAGGCTCACTTAAGTGACGGCATTTTTTTTTCCATTTATAGGGATTTTTTTTTTTTATTACAGAAAAGAATTGAATGTTCTGATTGTTGAACTGCAGGTTTAGGCTCACTTAAGTGACTGCACTTAATTAAGAATTTAATTATTTATTTTAATTATTTAGCCTGACATGTTTACTGTTCCAAAATGTTCCATATGTTTCTTAAAAATAAAATATATTGTGTTCACGGGAAACAAAAAAGTTTTTTTTTTTTTTTTTACCCAGACATTTAAAAATAAAATTTTAGAGCTGTAATCTCAATACTGTGATACTGTGAAACCGTGATATTTTGATACAAGGTTATCATACCGTCAAAATCTCATACCGGCCCATGCCTAGTTTTGAATAATGTCTTACTCTCACATGACCACAAATGAACACCGTGTCTACACCAGACGCAACAGTTGCCGCACCGCTCGCGTCCGGTGTAGACACGGTGTAAATTGTTTCCACTTTAAAAAAATAAATAAATAAAAAAATACCAAATTGATCGTGCCAGCGCCTCACTCGTGCAGTTAAGCATTACTAACTCGACAACGCAGCCGGTTCATTGTCATAATAAAATACAGTCAGCCAAACATTGAAAACCATGCTATTTTAGTTCCCCTCACTCCACAACAAATACTTTACATTTAACATTAGAACAGATCTCAGAACAAAGAATAAAAAATAAAAAAAAGCTACTAACAAGCCAAAACAAATTAATTTAAAATGTTGTACTTCAGTTTTCAATATCCACTTAAAACAAAAAGAGCTTGGCATAATATCACAGGGATATGGTGGTCACGCTGAACGGCACGGACTAAAGGCTATTTAAACGGAGCAGTGCACTGTAAAAAAATAACGTAAACGTAGGCTACTAAAGGAACATCAAATTAAGATAAAAATGTTTGAGGCAACTCGGCTTTTTCTTACCAAATATACAATAATTTTAGATGCAATTTAATATGAATATGATTTAATGCGCTTTTGAACTACAGGGAAACGGTGCTTTAACGTGAGCAACACCATGAACACGGATGCTGCCTATAGGCTAATTCTGCCATATGACACCACATTTATTTGCGTTAAAGCCCCTTTTCTCGACAAAAGGCGTTTCCAAACAATTTGTGACATTTAAAGTATCGATATGGAATTTATGCGCTAAAGTTAAATGGAAAGAAAGTCAACCAGTTTGAAGCGCTAAATATTTTTTCGAAAAAAATCCTTGGATGGAAACCTGGCTAATGACTTTAATGATCTTCTAATGAAAATCACTGTATACGACTGCTACAAACACAATATTGTTCTGTACCTCTGAAACCATTGGATGGTCCTCTGTAGCCATTGATCATACCACGCGAGTTACGAGGACCTCCACGAGAAATCCCTCTGCTGTTGTAGAAGGACTGAGCCTGACGGCTGAACCCATTGCCCTGGCCACCTGACTGCTGGGACATGGGCTGGGGGCCAGTGGAGATAGGGAGTGACTGGTCTTGAGAATGGAAGGCGCCAACTACTGGTAAGACAGGGATAAAACAGCTGAATTAAACATGTTTATGTATACTGTAGTAGTAGTAATCAAACATCCAATCAGAGTCAAACATGATTATGCATGAATAGGAATTGAGGGGATAAAAAAAAAAAAAAAAAAAAAAAATATTTCAATAGCTTACAAATGGCATTATGCAGGCCATAGGGAATAGTCAAAGTTTATATTATTGGCTCCACAGCTGCTTGCTTCCATGAGCCACATGTTGAGAAGTGCTGACTATATACAGGAATATATTGTGGGTATTAAAATATGATTGAGGTATTCTGACGATTTTCCTCACCAGATTGGAGCTGCTCTGGCGGCATGTCTGTTTGCTCCACAGGGTGCTGTGTCTGGCTATTAAAACCCTGGCTGTAGCTATTCTGGTATTGGCTGGCCTGTTTCATTGAGTCCGTATCATTAGCTGGTGGGACAGGCGCATTAAGGTTGAACACCTGTCAGGAAGAACAGAAAGAGGGTAAGTGAACGTAATATTAGGCAATAGAGTATCCAACACACAAAGTTTGGTATCTACAAGGAACACCAATATGAGAATTCTCTTCCTTTACACACCCTCATGCCATCCCAGATATAGACTTTTCCTTCATAAGAACATAGACAAATAGAAAAATAATCCATATCTGTGAGTACATAATACAAGTGTCTGGGATTTTGATACAAGTGTCTGGGGAGTTGATGCTTCAAAAACTATTAAAATGAACACCATGGTCCATACCATTCCAGTTGATGAATCAATGTCTTCTAGAAGCAAAATGATAGGTGTAAAAAAAGTACTGATTTCAAACTTTTTTTTTTTTAACAAAAAAAAAACAAAAACAACATTAAAGGGGTCATATGATGCGATTTCAATTTTTCTTTTCTCTTTGGAGTGTTACAAGCTCTTGGTGCATAAAGAAGATCTGTAAAGTTGCAAAGACTAAAGTCTCAAATCCAAAGAGATATTCTTTATAAAAGTTCAGAGTCAACCACGCCTACCTAAAACGGCTCGTTCTAACACACCCCCACGCTCACTCAAGCCGCCGGCTCTTTTGGAAGGACACAACTATTAATCAGTGGTTAAGTTGTATTTACAACTCTGTTCCAGAAAAGTTTAACCCAACTATTAAGATGTGTGCAGCGCATTTTATGGAGGACTGTTTCCTGATCCTGGAAGAGTAGACAACAATGCCGGCTGTTCTGACTCACAGACTAAGTACGTTTTCATTTAAAGGATTTGCCACCGACGATTCAAATGAGAGTTTTGAGCAGTGTAGAGCAGCGCTTGTTGTTTGTCATTTCTCCTCATATGACCCCTTTAATACCGACCAACTGTATGAGCTCATGTCTGATGTGTGACACTCACACAAGAAGTGACAGAAAAGAACAGATGGCTGTCAGTTCTTGAATGTGTTTCACAGCGTGCTGACGTTTGTGTCAACCACAAATTCAAACGTTAGTTGGCCCAGAAGGAGCAGGGGTGTCAAACTCAGTTCCTGGAGGGCCGCAGCACTGCAGAGTTTAATTCCAACCCTGCCCCAACACACAAACCATGTAGTTTTCAAATAAGCCTGAAGAACCTGATTAGTTGAATTAGAGTTGAAGCTAAACTCTGCAGGGCTGTATCCCTTCAGGAACGGAGTTAAGACACCCCAGATTTAGAGT